GACACGACAGTTCCTCTTTTCTTGGATGGGTATTATACATTTCCATAACTAATAAACTGAGATATACTGTCTGAAATTATGGAAGGCAACGCAATTTAGACGCACTTACACCAAGCTGTTGTAAGCGTTAAAGCGAAATACTTTAACACACTTGTAAGCAATAAAAATACAGGAAAAGAAGTCAAAGTTTGGTGACTCTTCTGAGTCATACAGACCATAGTCTGCATATTAGGGCGCCTAGTCTGAGTGTTTTAAGTGAATGTAAAAATGAAGGCCAATACTCCTCTTCGGCTTTCTCCTTCTTCTCATCATATCTGAAAAAAAAACCCCCCGAAAAAAAACTAGACAGGAGTTTGAAATTTCCGGGCTCATGCTGGAGGCTGCCATTGGCTCACGAGGAGCTTACCTACATGCAAATGAAGCAACGCAGCCTTGCTGCCTCTGATCCAGAGCGTGAGGAGGAGGACCAGGAATACACTCATGTACCTCGAGCTCTAGAAAAAACACCTCCAACTCCTTCAATGTTGAAACTCCACAATTAAACCGGATTGTGTTGACAAAAGCCGACAAAAGGCGCTTTCGTAATTTTTTTGCGCACCAACCCCGTAGAAAGCAATAACGGAATACAAGGGGACAGACCGATTCAGTCAATACTTCAATACTGTTATGAAGCGAGAATGAGTAGCGCAGAAGACAGCGGGAGCAAGTGCTCGTCGGGCCCGATTTCCAGCTTTACTATCCAGTCTATTTTAGGCACGCCATCCGATGAGCCGCGCTCCGGGACCAAGGAGCTCTCCAAGGGGCCGCCGCCAGCGCCGCGGAGGCGCTCACTGTCGGTGTCGTCCGAGGAGGAGTGCAGCGGCGGGGAGGACTCAGCAGACTGCTTCTGCTCCGACACGGGTCACAGCGAGCCGTGCACCCAGCACCAACCCCATAACTTTTCCTGTTTAGGTAAGGATTATTATTATTATTATTAAAATTACAAACCAAAGAAATATTAAAACAATATTATCACCCACAGATACACTTTCAAACTTATTCAGCTGAGTTTCTTTTTTCACAGAAATAACAGGTTTAATGCTTTGTTTGCACTTTCATTCACTTTTCACTAGCTTGTGTTTGAGATTGTTACACTGACACGCAGACCATCCGCTGCCACTTGTACGTTCTGCGCAGACTATCGCATCAGCAGCGGAAGAGTGGAAGGTCTAATAATTAGCCCTCTGTCTTTCCTCTCATTTCAAATTTAATTGAGCCTCCTAATTGACGAAACATGTTTCCAAAATGGCTGCACTACACGTCGTCAATTGAGCGTTAAATAGAGCTGGATTTAATTAATAGCTTACTGTACACCGTGCACACTCACGCTGAATTGTTTATTTAAAAAGTCACAGGCTTTCAGCAGTCGATTTAACAAGTCAGAGTTCACACTTGACGAACTCTCAAACTGAGTATGTCTAAAAAATGTAAAACATATTTTTTTTCAGTCGTTTAAAAAGCACGCTTAAATCATAGACCGCTTATGATAGCCTACTCATCACATCTTTCTCCCCCTGCTGCGTTTAGGTCCCGCTAAAGGACTTCTGTCTGGAAATGACGGGCTCGCACGGCGGCCGCACCTGTCACAGCCTCTGCTGCAGGATTATAAGGAGGAGCAGGAGAGACCGTGCCATCAAATGTCACCTCTGTCGGAGGAGAGACAAACAGACGGTGCGGACAAGCAGGGCAGCTCGGCCAAAAAGAAAACGCGCACGGTTTTCTCCCGGAGTCAGGTGTACCAGCTGGAGTCCACCTTCGACATGAAGAGGTACCTGAGCAGCTCGGAGCGGGCCTGCTTAGCCTCCAGCTTACAGCTGACGGAGACTCAAGTCAAGACGTGGTTTCAGAACAGGAGGAACAAATGGAAACGACAGCTCTCTGCTGAACTGGAGGCGGCCAACATGGCCCACGCCTCCGCACAGACACTAGTGGGGATGCCGCTGGTTTTCAGAGATAACTCCTTACTGCGTGTTCCCGTCCCTAGGTCTATCGCGTTTCCGACGCCCCTGTACTACCCGGGAAGCAACCTGCCAGCGTTACCTTTATACAACTTGTATAACAAAATCGAGTACTGATTGACTCTGCTGTATGTTCACTGCAGTCCACGAAAAAAGCATTACAAAACAATACGACATTCTAGGTGTCTCATAAGCCTTGTATATCAATTGTATCACTTTTTTGTTGAGAAAACTCTTATTATGCAGTTATTGTATGTCTCGAAAGAAAGCAATCAAGCTTCCCTATATGTATAAAATACACCATGTGTATAATTATTATAACGATTTTGTATTTTTATTTTAACTTCCTTCTTCTTTAAGTGATAAAATACTGGATTTAATCCTTCATATCACATTTGAAAAATACGTTAAAAAAGGCCGACTTTTACACTGTTTTTTATTCCGAATTGGTTTGTCAAAGATATTTTAAGTTTCACTCCACCTGACGCAAAACTGACAGGAAACACTCAATTCTTCCATTTAAGGAAAAATATCATTGTTTCTATTGTAATCTAGACCTTCAACAATAACCTTCTCATTCAATAAATTTTCTATTTCAGTGAAAAATTTGGTTTGCTTGGTTTTATTTGTAAACTTTGCCACTGGTACATCCCCCCAGCACACAGGGCTAAGAATTATTGTAAATAAGAAAGAAAGCAAAATTATTTTCAGCTGTTCTGAGATTCCTGAAGACCACAGTAGCACCCATCCTTTTATGTTAATGGGTATTAATTTAATATATTTTTTTCTCGTTGTATTCTTGAATTAACTGTTTTATTATATGTAAGATTTAACCACAACTAAAATGTGTGTCAGGGGGAAAAGGGGAAGACACTGATAGTAAATTCAGAAACACTAGACGATTATTGGCTCTCACATTACACCAAAAAATATTAGTTATTTTATAATACCAAAGGTTGTGGGATTCTTGTGATGTGCATTTTAATCTGACTACATTTTTAAGAAATACAAATGTACTTCGAGGGAATGCGGTGTGAAATATTGATTGCTAAGTACACTAGCCTGGAAATACTCTAAAATACCAAACTCTGTCTAAATCTATTGAGTTCATCAGAGAGATACAGCTAAATCTGATTAGTTTGCCCTTTTTAGTCATATTTTTGTATACGCTAGTGACCAGCGAACTCCTCTGTAAATTAAGAGATTGGTGACCAGGGCACATGGCTTTATAAGAAGTAGATAAAGCACATTTCAGGCTGGAAAAGAGTTGCTTACTATCACTGGCCAATCACGCCTCTGGGCGGGATCTTCTCTCATTTGAAGTCTGCCTTCTGCGGCTCTGAAGCATCAGGACTTGTAAGGGGAAACCTAAGAAGGAGGCGTTTTGTCAAACTTTAAGACTGGCTGTCATTAGACTGTGCTCTTTATCTGTCTGTGTAGGTAATTATTTTATCAGCTCCCTTAAGAATTCTGGACACCACATGTGGTGTGTCTGGTTAACACATGAGCTTGTTTAGGTTTTCAAGAGGCGTGTTGCACTAAATCAGCTCACCCTGTCAGTGTTTACTATCTATTAACAATTCACTACATGTAAATATTAACCATAAACCTGACCATAATCTCACACACATACACGCACTCACTCAGAAGCACATGCACGTGTCCTGTGGTTGATGGGGAGCGATAAAATTGTGTCATTTGCCAGCTTTTCTTGGGTGTCACATCATGTACAAGCCCCCCCAACACACACACCCAACCAAGCCCTTCTACCCATCCCACCAATCTCTCACTGTGTGCTAATGGCTACATTACCTAGCAGAATCATGACTAGCCAGGCTCTGCTGCCCTGCAGATTATGCCTGACCCAATTTCTGCAACAGCCGCCCTGTGTTTCTGGGAAAATGGATAGCGTTAGACAACAGCAGTGATTTATGGGCAACTCCAGCAGCAGCGAAGAGGTGAGGTGCAGGAGGATGAATTTGTGACAGATAGGAGAGAGAGTGAAAAGAGAGATAGAGAGAGCGATGGGGGACAGTAACACTTATGAAAAGGAGCAATAGCTTTGGTTGAATGAAGCTGTTTATTAGTTTCCAAGTGGTCATTATGTCATCAGGTGTGACGGTAATATGCTGCTCTTTTGGATGAATGTTTGCACCCCACTGACTTCTGGGAAATCTGCATGACCTGTCACCTGAAGTTGTTTGATTTAGAAGACAAGGCGAGAGGGAGAGAGATGTGTGGAGAAAATAAGAGCCAAAGTGAAAGAGAGGAATAGGTGGGGTGGGGGGGATGGGGTTCGATGTAACTATGTATCACTGCAATGGCAGGCGTGAATTACAAATTTTAATAGCAAGGCAATGAAAATGATTTGAAGTGGTTTAAACTGCGAAGAGACAGCGACTGGCATGGTGATGAAGATTTGTTGAGATGATATGTTGTGCCTTAGGATTCATCAAACCTGCCTGGTAAGGTGAAAAGCAAGTGTAATTCACTCCGTGGTATAATTTATGATGGGAGTAATGGAAACTGTGGGCTACACACAGTGTGGAGAGGGAGAAGCAAAGACAGCGTGCACCCGGCAAATTGATTCTCAGGATAGTTTTTATAGCATATTTACAGAATTGTAATGAATTAAAACCCCCAGATATCACCTCTTTTACATCTTGAGATAAAATGAAGATCAAAACTAAATTAATTGAGACCACATTAAATTGATATAGGCTGCAAAAACACTATCTAACACTTTACTTTTTCATTAGTAATTCTCTCTTCTAACATCTGAAGATTTCTTCTTCTTCTTCTTTTTTTTTTAAAATATCCCTTCCTTTCATCATTTATTTGGATGAGGGCTTTTCAACTACCTCCCAACATATTTACAGCACCAATTTGATTTAAAGAGGGTATGTGTGGCTTCATATTAGAGTGGAAGGTTATGAAGTATAACACCACGAGCAGATGCAGAGCCCCGGGTCTGCCTCAAGACAAGAGTTTTAAAAGCGATCGCAATGCATTAAGCCAGACAACTCTCAAGACCTGTTTGCTCCCTAAATGAATTTGAGAGGAGCGTAACAAGATTTTTGAGGCAGGCCCTGTCATCCGCTGGCTTTAACCAGCTTCTGTATTTATGGGCTAATGGTTAAAAAGGAGAGCTTGGAGCAGAAGTGATTTTTCATGATTCTGTTTTATATCAACTGGAAATGAAGGAGCTGAAGGGAAATTGTGTTTGTCCCCCCTCCACAGCCTCTACCCCTTCGCCTTAACAGGGGAGGAATATGCTACCAGGCAAATGGCCGCAGTAAATGCAACATATGGACTAAGTTTATTAAATGAAATAAGGTAAAGTTACAGCTTTATAAATTACTTTAAACCAAAATCGTAATGAAAACCTGTAATAAGGAGCTATATCTTTTAAATAGATAAATACGCCTTTTAAAAGTTTAAGTCTGTTATTTGATTAAAAATAACAAAAATGGTGTTCAGTCTCAAAATCAGTTTAGTTAAACTTGTGATATTGTGACTGTCTACATTAATATACTGTATATTTTAAGCTGTTTAAAAACTGAAGGTCAAATAGAAAAATCTCTTTTATTTGAACCATAATGAAAACCTTTCCATGCCTAAGTCAAACTACTCAAGAACAATATTTACCCAGTAATGTGGACTAGCGCTTTAATGGCAAAATGCACTGTGCGTAATTGTAAAATTACCGACCATTTCTTGAAACTCTGATTCTGAAGTGCCCTTCTCTGGTCAATATGCATCAAACTATTATAGACTACAGTATGTGCAGAGAATTTGGCTATTACTTTAGAGATAAGTCCATTAGCATTACCTTTGACACAATAATGGATGTGAGATATAATTTTGTGCACTCCATTTTGTATTTGTAAGGATAATAGGGGGATTATCTTGAAGGCCTTATGCTACACGCTCAAGCATGAGACCACAGAGACAGAGAGCTCTGCAACAGTTGTTTTCACATCCTCCCCTCTCTCCCTCGGCCCTCCCCTCTGCTCCAAGACCCTCTCGGAGAGAGGCAGGGAAGATAAAGCATGTCATTATTCTATTAAAGACCTACAATTTTTGTAATGGGACTTGCAGTGGTCGGCAGAAGTGCAGGCAGCTTCTTCAATATCCTGGACATTATTTGCTCGTTTAGTTAAATGATGTTTCTAATTCCCTCATAATTACTTGTAATGAGGCTGTCTCCCTCGTTTTGATGCGGCTTCATCTTAATACAGCATGGCATTCTTTTTTAGGGATAATTACCTCTCATGAGGCTGTGGAGCAAGGCTGGGGTTTGTTGTGCGCTGCACACGTGGCAAATTGGCTTGTTTCCTGCCATCTTGTCTTCCTGCAAATTGGTAAATTAAGTTTCTCGGCTGGAGCATTAGAACTGTTAAGTTTGCTTTCTCGGCTCCTTCAAATGATTGGATTCACTGACAGAGAGATGGCCGCATATTCTCTGTTTTGTCTCATTAACTTTGTACGCTTTACAGAGCTGAATATTGGAGCATTAACAAAACTGTTACAAACACAGTTTTAAAATAATCTGGGCATGTAACCCAGATCACAGGGGAACACAAAGCATGCTAATTCCTTAAGGCTACATTTTACATTCATGGTTTACTATTAAGCCAGTGAGTCTAAACTTTAATCCAGTTTTACTGAGAGACAAATCTCAACACTGTTTTGGGGGAAAAAAAGAAGCTGGAATCCAAATTAGGTCAATTTGTTATAGCACTAAAAGACAACAGTGGTGCCATAAAATGTATCTGCACTGCCACTGTGTCAAAAAAAAAAAGGTACTGAACCAGTTCCGTAATTTTCCTCTTGATAACATTATCAGGAGAGCTGCTCATTACCTTATATTGTAGGTAATAAATAACTATGTTATATTCAAGAGTTTAAACATGCTATAGACATGCAGAATTTAAGCTTACGATGGATTTTCCCTTCCTGTTCCCCATCAGTTAGTAGACCTGTCTGTGCTGTCCCTCTGAAATGATCCAGCTGCCGTTCTCCAACCGCAGCCATTGCAGGGTTGGGTGAGGGGTTTTTATTTCTAAGTGCTGATGTGTCGCAGACAGTTTGGCTCTACAAGGGCCTGTTACACGCCGATTAAAGAGAGGGAAGGAGTGCTCCCGCAGGGCGGCCTAGTACATTTACCCTGACCACAAAAAGGTCTAACGTTTACGCCCTGGTGCTGACATGACCTTCAAACAAGGTCCCTCTGCTGCCTGGGTGGATACTGGAACTGTCTGGAGCCTGCAGTGGACCTAACAG